CGCAAAAGCCGCGGCCCCGCTAAGCGCATCCATTGGCTCCCAAGCCCCGGGGCTTTTTCCTTTTTCATTAATTTTTTTTAGGTGTGGGCTGTCAGTTTAGGTTCCCCCCAGCGCCACCTTCAACATACATGGACAGGGTTTATAGCTATGCAGGCATTTATTTAATGGACTCGCAGGTATTGTTTTTCCCCTCCCTCTCCTCTCACAGCTGTCATAAAATACAGACCCACATACATACCAGCAAATGCTGCTCCCAGCACTCGCGCTGCTCTGAGCAGCTACTGCCCCCCTCTCTCCCTGCAAGGCTGCTCCACCTCAGGCATGCTCAACTTCTTCAGTCTTCTGCGATACTGCCAGGGTAGGAGATGCAGAGGGGGAGTGTTCAGAGCATCACCTTAGGAATATGTTCTTTAAAATCCTCTGCAATATTAAATCCCCAAGAAGGCTTCCCAGAGGTGGAGAAAACACAGAAAGGTGAATTAATAAAGCAGGTTAATGATTAATAATAATAACGTAATGTGCACGAGGAGAAATGGTGGGGAGGAGGCTGGAGGGGAGGAATAAGCCTTTAGCGGTAGGGTGGGGGGTGCTTTGCAAGTTAGCGGTCGGAAAATGGGGAGGAGGGGGCAAGAAGGAAGAGGATGAGAGACCATGAAGAGAACTGGATGAAAACCACCCCCTTGCCATGGGGGAGGCGACTCTCTGCCTCCGATGCACAGTGGGGGCAGAGGGGGAGCTCGTCCCTGAGGGCTGGGCCAGGCCCAAGCTGCACAATGGGGTGAGCCCCACACTGCCCCCCACCAAAAGAGTACTCAGGGCTCAGCAGGACCTGGCCCCCCAACCTGATCCCAGTGAAAGCGGCCCTAAGGGGCAGCCACTGGTGAGCCGCATTGTTGCAAGCAACCGATAAAAAGGAATGCTTAAGAAAAATAATAAAATATTAACAATAATCATAAAATAGTAATAATAATAATAAAAAGAAAGAGGCGCCTAGCCAGCAGACAGGCAGCGCAGTTGGATCTGAGCTAAAAGAAGGGTGCGAGAGCAGAGATAACGCTAATATCCAAATTGGATACTCCACAATTAAGTCCGGATCTTTAATTGCTATCCTCTGAGTTCCCTGGAAGATATGTGATGTGAAATCAGCCTGAACAAAAGCGAGGTGTGTTTGCACACGCCCCTCTGCCTGCATTCCTCGAGGGGCATCTGTGCTGGTGCCCCCGGGCGCTCTCAACCTCACCCTGCAGGGCTGTCCACAGAAGGGTCTTGTGGCTGCAGCCCCCTCCTTGTCCTTCCCATGCCTGGATTTCCCTGTGAGTGGCCTGAGCAGAGCAAGACTCTCAGAGAGAGGCCCTTCCCAGGACAGAGCAGTAGGTGCCACCTGGCTAAGTGCATTCCCTTAGCCAGGGAGGGAAGGGGTAGGAAACTGCTCCTCAAAAGATGGACAAGGAACGCTGGACCCCACACCAAAGAGCTGTGCTGCCATGAGCAGCCAAGCCCTCTGCGACCCTGAGCTGGCAGGCCAATAGTCGCAGCTGTGCAGGCCAATAGTCCCAGCTCTGCAGGACAAAATATTGATGGGGCAAAGGTCTACTCCAGAGCATAGGCAAGGTTTCCGAGGGAGAAAGCCACATGAAAACATGGTGGCAACTCTGGAGCTTCTTTCAGCCTTGCCAATTTATACCTCGGAATTCACACGGTTCAAGCAGGGTTTGCTGGTCTGTAAAGGAGATAATGGACAGCAACATGGCTGTAGCACCACATGCACGTACCCATGAACCATCTGCAGCATGAATGTGTTGCTCTGCCCATGTATGCTGGGTATGTTTTGTGTAGCTGCACTGTGATCACTAGCAACACCTATGCTGTTGCTGTGTCTGAGCTCCTCATCCAAAAGGATTCACCAAGATTTTAATTTCGGCAGCAAGGATTTTTTTTTCTGAGGGTGTTGGTAAGGTTTGCTTTGTTAAAATGATTCTCACAACATTTTTAGGCATGCTTAAAGAAAGTGACTTTGATCTTTTTCATTCTAATTTCAGTAAAGGAAGACATTTTAGTCAAAGCCTGAAATAATCTGAAATTATCTCAGAACAGTTGGAGAGAAGAAATGTAGAATGATACTTACATACAGAAGTTGCTAATAGCTGAAGAGATTAGTCATATGACTTTCCCATTCCTTTCGATGATAATAGTGATACAAGAATAGCAGATGGGATTTGGCCAAAAGATGTTTTTTTCCCTTTCTGTATGGCAAGAAGGAATAAACTGGGACTTTGCAGATCCTCCTGCATTCTTTTTAAAATAAGTGAAGAAGGAGATTGATGGAAATGAGAGAGAACGGTTTTCATGCAATATATTGCTTATCAGTGGAAATCTCAGACACAAAATGGAGGGCTAAGAAATATCTTAGTAACAATTTCTGAAAAGGGGACTATGAATCAGAAGAGTTGCAATTATTTAAAGCGAGTCATCAATATTTTTGATTACCATTCTTGGTGATATTAAGATGGAGGTCATCAACAGCAAATCTTTTTGTTTCTAAAACTATTCAATTCCATGGTTAGGTGGCATATAGAAGTCGTTTGTATCATTCACACTTAAGAATAAGGCTAGTTGCCTTGCTACATAATAGATCTCTACGTACAATATGTATATATTATCCAATTATATTACACATACGTATATAGTAATTCTCTCTAAATAATAAGGGCCAAGCTCTCTAGTGTGATTAGGGCTTTGAGATTTTATACCCTTTTCAAAGAAAGATGGCTATTTTCCCCTGTCCAAAGAAATCAGGCTCTTGACAAGCCTGAAATTGTGCACACAGACCTGCCAGTTACTTCAGAATATCTTCTCCTAAAGATTCTGTACAGAATGGAAATTATTTTTATATTAAGATGAAAAAATTATTGTAAATAATAAAAAAAAATGTTACAAAATCTCCAGCACAGTAGTACTATGACAGGGTTTACTCTGACTGGCTGGGATTGACTTTTATTTTTTTCCAATCAACCAAGATGAATGGACTGCATAAAATGAAACAAATAGCATCTCTGATGGGATTTTTTTTTCAAACATCTCTTCAATTCAAAAACACTTAAGTGTTATCCATAATAGAAATTGAGGGATTTATTTTAAATGCATCCGTGTTTACTATAAATTAAGGGCCATATTATTCTTGTGCTTCCTAGTATGATAGAATATGAATGGAAGTTCTTACATTAAAAGCATATAGGGCTGGATGTGCCAGAGGTGCCTTTGGGAGCAGCAGAGCCATTCTGCCACCGTAGGACAGCATCCTGCAGAACTAATAGGCAAAGAAGGATGTACACTGTGTTTAATGCTCACTAGATATCCCCATGACTTCATAAAAACAGAGGCAAGATCCAGTGCAGTACCTCCTTAGATATACAGGGCCTTAGCAAAGGCAAAAGACTGACAATTCATCGGACATCTGCACAAGCATAGATCCAGTTGCATTAATACAAAAGCTGTGTCCAAAAAGAGCAGTTCCTTGTAATCAGTGAAATGGATCAATTGCTCTGCAAAATTCATATCATAAAAAGATTTTTCATAGTAGCATTCTTTTGGATGTGTGCACAGGGTCTCCAACTCCTTTTATACAGCACTGTGTCTCGCTCCACCCAGCCATTCTATTATATATGGTCTCTACTCCTGTAGTGTTGCAATGACTGTATGCCACTTTCCTATCGAAATGTTAGCATGCTGCGAATCTCTGCCTCTTCATGCATGTTACACACTCTCCTGTGTCCACCAACTAGTCTTGGATCAATCCTGATCACAAAGCAGCAATATATATCCACACCCGTGTCCTGGACCTTCCTGCTCTCCAAGCAGAAGAGACACTGTGGAATATCCCACTGTGTAGGCACTGAGTCTATGACACTTTTAGTAGATCACCATAATAGCCATGTAGGCCCATAGACGAGAAGATGCTATGGCCTTCTGCCTACAGATCATAAGGAAGAGTTCTTTTAGAGATTAAGGAAAAAGGGGAAGAAACACTAAAAAAAAAAAAAAGAATTAGCATACAAACCTGACAGTGCTTCAACTACCTGTCTAAAGAATAGGAGGTTGGGACTGGATTTTAGCGTGAAATCTTTTATCCTTTCTTTTAGACCTGGCTGCAGGACCAAAAAGTGCTAGAAGATGAATGAACCAGAAGCTATGCGGGTAAGTTCTGGTTAGTGTCCTGCAAAGACACCTGGACACATGAACACCTTTCACCTTCTTTCCTGTCTTGGAGAACACACCGCCTGCCCACAGGCCTGTAGAAGGGAATAGCAAGCACTGTTGCATTTGCTTTGAAGTGATATATATGTTCTTTCTGCTGTCATGCTAGCACATTTAGCCAAGCTTTCATCATTTTGCATCGCAATAATTGCTGCATCCCCTACAGTCTCTGCCATGGTCAGTCCATCCTCAGAAATCCTAAACAACTAACGGACTGGTTTTATGTCACACAGAATCAAAAAAAGTGTGAAGTAGATTAAAGAAGAAATATCTTTCTCTGGCCCTTTATAGACCTTTTATGTCTTTATAGAGTTTTTATTCCATTTGACTATAGAATGCCACATTCATTTGAATTTTTTTTCCTGGACCGTCATTTATATGTGAAATGCACACATATTAAAATAAGAATCTGGATTTTTTTTT